TGACTGACTAATAGTAAATATCTTTTCCTATAAATATCTTTTCCTATAAATATCTTTTCCTATACTCCCGTTCTGCCAACAGATCAATGACAATAAAAAAGGCCTGAAAGGCCGTCCTGTCCAGATTTGACAGGTAATTGAATTGGTTGGGCTTAAAGAATTAGCCTTTAAAAAAAAAAAAAAAAAAAAGCTTAGCACGAATGTGGTCGTCGAGGACCAGCATATGCAGGCTCGTGTATGTGGGCACTTTTTCGACAAAATTCCTGGTGACTAGTGCACCAACCAACCCTTTTTGGGGGGAAGGGGCTGGAAGATAGACAGGGCCCTAAATGATCACAGGTAACGAAAAGACCGAGGACCATTCGCTGCACCAGCGCCGGCCTACCAGTAGCCTGCGCGAACCCGAGTCTCTCGGCTCCATCCCTCTCACGCGTTCGTTCTACTTTTGCCCGATCGCTCATTGCTATGCATGCATACGATAGACACCGTTAGGTCTGACAAAAAAACGAAGTGGTAAGAGAATTTACCAGGCAAGAAAAGCATCAATGGCAAATCAGCAGTAGGCGGTCGCGCGTCGATCGGGCAAAACCAACGTGGCGGTCCTCCGTCAGGTCTTAGAAGCTCTTTTACACGTGTCAAGTACTCCACGGCACTTGTTCCTCGTCCCGATCGCGATGTGGAACCTGCCGACTCGGCAATGGTGACCGGGCTCCCAGATTGCCCCACCTGTCCAGCAATTGACGTGGCAGAGTCATCAACCTGGAGTCGGCGGGCCCTTCCACCCCTCGCTAAGGGAGAAACCGCCGCCTGATCTGCCTCGTCATCCTCGTTCACTTCCTCGTCCTCCTCATCCTTCTCCTCCACCTCCGTCACATTCTTTTCTGCAGCTCCATCCTTAGATCCAGTGCTGAGCTGCTCGCCTCCCGCCGTCATGGCTTCTCCAATAGCCATCATTCTTCTGCTTCGCAACCGAGCACCCACGTGCATCTGATTAGCAGCTGAGCGGAGGGCTGAACACCGTCTCGTCGTCTTGTGCTCCAACCACCGGTCGACTGCATGTGAGCAAATCTCTGCCGCGTCAGCACGGCCGCGCACGCCACCCGTCCCAGCTGTCGTCACCACCATGCGCGGGCCGAATTTCGCCCATCCCGACTTCCAGCTGCTTGATACTGACTGCAATGGCGGCCTGGACTTGTGGGTCGCCTCCCTCGTTCGTCGCCTGCAGCTCGCGCAGCCTTCAGACGATAGTTGCTGCCCCTCCGAGTCGACCGGCCAGCCATGGCCGTGAAGTCCCGATCTCCTCCCCCGCGCTTCGACGAAGGCAAAGCTCCGAGACCGACCAACTTCAGCGTTATAGGCTGTCTGAGGGCGGCAAGTTGAACATGAAGCCAGCCTTATCCCGGCCCCACCCACGACGAGCCGGCTGGAAAAGCTCCGTGAGTTGTTTGTAATCGCACCCTGCCCTCCATCGCCAGTTAGTGATGAATGTGCCCCTGAGCTGACGGCTCCTCGCTGGGTTATTACGTGCGCCATTAACGTCGCACGCTTAAGAGAAAATTTAACTCTACACGGCCACAAGCAGAGAACTGCTGAAAATGATCAATTGATTGATTGATTGCTCGGCTAAACGACACCAACCCCTCCGCCTCCTTCTGTCGTCTGCGTCACGTGTTTCCTGGCTTTCCTTCCGTAGCTAATAACTTAGCGTGTCTATCAAAGCTCTTCTGCCGCTCTCTTGCTCCTCCCTCTCCCTTGTCTGTTGCCCCAGTGTGCGCTCTCTTCATTCACTTCGCCATCGCCTGCGTTCTTTTTGTTTTCTCCTGTTTTGACCACGCCTTTGCCTGTGGACACCAACGAGTCTACCGCGCTACACTCCGACAGCGAGTTTGGAATTTCTTTTGCAGAGGGAGAGCAGACACCACAGCAAGCGAACCGTTAACAACAGGAACCAATGTGTAGTCTGACGCGCGCAAATGCCCGTCGATCGTTAATTTTTGTTACTCCAATTAGAACACCTATTATCCATGCACGCATGCTCGCGACGCAGTTACTCTGCTCGAGTCCATCACTGCACTAGTGGCCGTCGTTCTGGCACCACGAATTTAACGTTGGTTCAAATATCACAAGCCGAGCCACGGATTCTGCCGTAAGTTGGGTTCGCGGTCGACAGGTTGGCAAGACCGCCACGGTAGTAGGGAGCTGAAAAAGTTACCCAGCCCACGTGGCTGAATAACGCACACGTGTAATTGTTAGTGAATAGAGCATGAGCTCGGAACCAGCTGACACGCACAAATAGAGTTAGCGGCTGTCAGTTATCCCTGTCTTTCTGTCTTTTTTTTTTCTTTTTTTTTTTTTTCATTTCAAAAAAGCTGCCTTCTCCTCGTCGGGGACAGTCATATATTTTTCTCTCACCTCACATATTTTTAACTGGCGTTCTGCCATGTCATGGAACATATCTTTCTTTCACTACCTACCTACCACAACTCCTAAGGCTATTCAGGGGACCCCTGCAAGCATAGCTTTCTACCTCGGATTTTGGGGAAAGAGGAGGGGGGGGGGGAAGAGTTAGCGGCTGTCAACTCGATTCGCATCCCGCCCTATTTCATCCGTTAATTCCCCCTCTTGTTTTGTCCAGGCTAGATCTTGAGAGAGGATTAGCATGAATCAGGCTATCTAGGCGTATCTCAGTGTTTGCTCATTTTTATTTTTGTTAGTGTTTTGAATTAAAAGCACGGTGGAAAACTTGACAATTTGGGAATCTACCCCTTAAACGGCTAGTACACGGCCCCAGCCTTGCTGAAAAGAAACTCGTTGCCTACTAGTTCCTTCTCCGAAAAAGACGCCGCAGGCGCGCCGTTGATTAAAAAAATATTTGGCCCGTGCCGCCTACCGAATTCTGACCCGCAGCGGATAGCTGGATGTAGTTGTGCTGGAGGCGCATGGCAACCTGAACGCGGGAGGAGGGCAAAAACGCAAGGCAGCGGTAGGATGGGAAGGATAGGTGGTCAGGGATGGGCCCGAGGGCGTCGGAAATGTTACGTTTTGGTGGAGAAGGCGGTGAGGACAGCCGTCCTGGGGGCGCGAGATGAGTGTAGAGGAGCTCGAGTATCTCACGCGGTGAGCCCGAGAAGATCTTGCAGGGTGAGCCCGATAGGAAGAGTTGTGGCTGTCCTCTTCGCAGCCAATTTTCCTTCGTTTTGGGTGGTTGGTTGTTTTGTTCTACCTTCACTTTGAGCCTCGCCACACGACTCCCGAAAGTGGTGTTTTCGGGAGTGCAACGTAGCCACAACAGCTCCGAATTTGATCTGTCAGGTCGAATTCGGGAGCTGCCAGAATGGGGCTCCCAAGAGCACTCCCGAACTCACCACCTGCAAAGCTGCCTTTTCGAGAGACCTCTGGTCCTCTGAGTTTCATCCCAGATTCGGGACTGGAGCTGGAAGGGACAAATGGACTTCTGCCAGACTGCTTCACACCGATCGTGTCCACATGTGGCAACTGACATTTTCAGACTTGGAGCGCAGCCCCGTCGAGAGTGTGGGCCTCGCCACACCACTGTCGAAATCATGATTCTTGATAGTTTCTCTTGGCCACAGGCTGTGGAAATTGGAGACCGGAAGAAAATTCACAAGTTGTCAGAGAACGCTTCTCGACACCTCCTGTCGAAAGTTGTTGAATCCCCAGCCTGCTACTCCGATGCCTTCGACACAGTCCTCGGCTGCGACATCGACTTCTCTCCGAAAGTTGGTGAGTGGGTGTGAGGTCGGGATGGACTAATGGTTGTTGTACCCTTAGGAGCGATCGTCTTTTTCCATCTTGCATTGACAAGTGCGTCCATTCTACAGTGCTGTGTGGCTAAGGGGCTCGCCACACCACTGTCGAAAACACTATTTTCGATAGTTTCTGGTGGCCACACAACCTGTCCAAATTGGAGACGGGAAGAAAATTCACAAGTTGTCAGAGAATGCTTCTAGACACCCCCTTGAGAAAGTTGTCGAATCCCCAGCCTGCTACTCCGATCCTTTCTACAGTCCACTGCTGCGCCATCGAGTTCTCCTCGAAATTGGTGAGTGGGTGTGAGGTCGGGATGGACTAATGCTTGTCGTACCCTCAGGCGCGTCCGTCTTTTTCAATCTTGCATTTGCATTCACAAGCGCATCCATTCTACAGTACTGTGTGGCTAAAAAGGGGCAAACTGTCGAAGGGAGGCTGTCGAATTTATTCTGACAGCTGTCGAATTTATTCTGACAGCTGTCAATTTTTTTGCCTTTCGACAGTGGTGTGGCAAGCCCCTAAAGGGGGGCAAACTGCCGAAGGGAGGTTGTCGAATTTATTCTGACAGCCGTCAAATTTTTTTGCCTTTCGACAGTGGTGTGGAGAGCCCCTGTAGTGTGGCGAACGGCACTCTCGAGCCGGTTTTCACTTTAGGGAGCACTCTGGAAAATTTTCCAAACTCTGGAGTGGTGTGGCGAGGCCCTTTCTTTCACCTGTCGGTCGGGGTGTCGGTCAAGGTGGTGGTTGGATTTCTTCTGTTTTGTTGAATTTTCTCGTTCGGGCGCCACGTTTGGATTTTTCTGTTGTTTTGTTTTTTGCATATTTTTTTGCGCGTTGAACTCTCTCTCTCTCTCTCTCTCTCTCTCTCTCTCTCTCTCT